TAAGGGGTGATGTACTCTTAGCATTATTCTTATTTTTTTCATATCACTGTACTTATTCTGTCCCTTCCCTGAAAAAATGTTCACAGTACTTGTAAAAAATATGATATAAATGGAAGTCACAAAGACAATAAATTATGAAAATTAACTCGCTTGCAGAAATGATGCATCACATGATTCGATAGAAAAATGAATTCTACTCCTAACAACAACGCCAGATAAATGCATATTATAAGTTTTACTTTATTTATGAAAATGCTTTTAAAAATATTAGACAAAATGATTTTTTTAATTATTTTACAAAATTGAAAGATGAAAACAGCAAAACCAAATCGAACACTTTTTTTGAACTATTCCGCAGTGTTTGATTGGAAAAAAATATTTTCATGGAAAATGATATTTTTTCACCCAAATTTCAACTTTTAAAATGTGTGATCGTTATTATTATTATTTTTTTGGAAAAATATTTTCCTAACCTTTGAAATATCAACTACAATGTCAAAGTTAACCTACGGCCCTGATTGATAGACATGATTTTCTATGGAATTTTCAATTTTCCAACTTTTGCACTTTTTTGATAGCAAAATTTTCCCCGATTTTTTTTTCCAAATTTCCTTATTTTCTAGCTTTTTGAGGAAAATGTATTCTTATTGTTTTGGTTGTTTTTGATTTTCCAGGTTTTTGTTTTTTTATTTGCAATTGGAAAAAATTATAGATACAATGGTAAATTTTTTTATCATTTTTATTGACAATTTTCATGCAAAACAAAGCTAAACGAATGGTAGTCGGTATGGTAATTGTTTTTTCCAATTTTTTTTTTTTTCATTTGAAACAAATTCTAGACTCAATAGTAGAAAAAATTATCACTTTAATAAACAATTTTCATTAAAAATGAAGTCAAACAGAATCAAATTTTCAATATTTTTCAGGCGAAAAATTATATCAATCAAACACAATTAATTACAATTCTTAATAAAATAATTTTTAAGCAATTCAGTTTTATATAAAACATTTTAGCCCTGTTTGTTTCTGATTCTCAAATCAATTCTCAAATCAATTCTCATTTTCAACCACACATTCTTCAATAAAATAATATTTTCCATCACATCAATACTTTTTTCTTCTTTTTCAACCACACATTTCCCATCATATCACTATTCAAAATCAATTCTTCCCCCAAAAATCC